TAAGTTTGTGATTTGTCCTTATCATAAAAATGGTTAAATATGACACTAGTACACTTGGAGCATACTGAACGGACCTCGTATCGAGTTTAATTATATAACATGACCGTGCGAATAGTTAAATTTCATTTGATCGTTGTGTATTTCATATAAATCCCTTTGACGAAGTTATGTACATCATTTCGTGATTTTCATAATTCTATGATTCACCAATGGGGTGAGATTACTTTGATTGGTCAAATATCTCAATGAGTTAGGATCTTGAGAATGAGCGAAGTATGAAACATGAATTCGTATTAAGAACCGTCACTTTGAAAAATTGGTAGAGTGACTATTTAGATATTTTTCGTTGAAATGTCAAAATCTAAGCTCAGTGTTTAGCGATGGCTAAACGTCGACATTTGTGATTAGTTCATAGGATCGTTGAAGAAAATGGCACGTAAGTTGGTGAGAGTAATCAGAGGGGTAAAATAGTCATTTATGCTCGTACATAATTATCGAATATCGGACGGGATGAAATACGAAACGTCGGAGGAAAGAAGGTACTCACCCACAAATATAGTATTGACTTTGGAGAATGCCATAGAAGACTTGAAAGTTTGAAATATCGAATTCTTGCAATTAAAAAGCTAAAAGTTCTTGATTCTAATTAATTCAAGAATTGATCATTAAATTTAGGTAAAAATTTGAATCCTTTATTATTGACATAACATACATGTAAACATATAGACGTTCTTGTTTATTGAATTAAAGATGTTTTTAAAATTTTTAAATAATTTCGCTTCCACATTACAACACCACCATGGACTAGTCCAACCCTACATTTTCCATTGAAACAATTATGGGCAATTCCCTCGTCCAAAACGGACCATACACTGTATATATCCATTGTTTGCTAATTGCTAGGGATTAGAATCAAATTTTTAGTGAATTTTAGTAGAATTTGATGAAATATGGTTGACAAATTGTGAAACGCATAAAATATGAGATTAAAATTAATTGTTCTTTAATTTAAATTAAAATATAGATTTTAATTGATACCAAACATGGCTTAGTGAGTGTATTGTCCTTTTCCCACAGTCCTCCTTTCAGGTCTTGAGGTAGCTTGGAACCTTCGCTGAGGAGAAAAGCTAGGTAGCTTTGATCCATTGCGAGGGGCAAAATCTCGGCTGCTCCAAAAAATGATCACTGCAAGTAGGCAAATTTTGGCTGATGCAAAAAAAAGACGGCTAGATTGGGTAGATATTTAGCCATACGACGTCATCTAGCATTTGGGCAGATATTTAAAATTATATTTTTCACAATCTATAGGTCTATTACTTTTTGAACGTAGAATTATTGTTAATCATTTCAAAATAAAAAGTTAAAATTATTAAAAATAGGTAATATTTATTCATTTAACATGTCCTCTCACAAAAAATTCGATTCATTCATAATCAAATGTTTGACATTTGCATAATTATGACAACGATGTTTGAATCAAGGTTTTTTTTTTAACTAACTTCGAAATCATGTTAATTGAATAGTCTAAACATTTAAATGGTTAGAGAAGCACCACCCTCCCTTTTTTTATTTTTATATAATGCATTTTGGAATAGTAAATTGAAGAAAAATGTTTGGTTAAAAATTAAAGAAAAGTTTTAGATTTACGTGTAATATTATTTTATTGAAAAATGTGCGATTGAAAGAGAGAGAGAGAGAGAAAAAAAAATATATTTCGAAGAAAATGAGAATCAAACAAGGGCTTAAATCTATATTTTTGATATTTATAGACACTATTAAAGAAAAAAACTAAAATTGTATTGATTATACGGAAATTTGTAAAAATAGAATCTGACCCATTGTTTCAACAGGAAAAATTGAAAACAAATTAGGAAACCAGTCCAATTTAAAGTGAAACAACTGAAAAATTAAAAATTGTTAAAACAAATCAACCATGAACATTCGCTAAGTTAAATTTGTGTGCTCATGATAAACATCACAATTTTGTCTGGAAAATAATGTTTGTACATAATTTTTTTTTTATAGAAAAGTTACAGACACTCATATGAGGGTGGGTCTTATGTGAATTAAATATTGTCCAAAAAAAATGGAAAAATTATATTCATCTCCAGTGGAGATGCATTTCCAGTCTATGTGGATGTAAATGATTGGTTAAATGATAGGTGAAATTAAACGACTTATTTAATTTCACATATCATTTAATGCCACATTAACGCCACATAAATTGGGGATGCATCCCCAGTGGGGATGAATAGTATTTCTCGAAAAAAAACTATCTCGAGCATGCCTGAATTGATGAGTCAACTTTCAAGTCTCATTTTATATGCAAACGCTTCATTAAAAAATTAAGAAATTATCTTTCAATAATGAGCTTTTTAGACTAGTTGATCTGGCTAGCTGACTTAGATGGAAGCGTGGTTGAACTAAG